CGCACCCGAGCCGAGGTGCCCGCCGCCGGGCAGCGGCAGCGCGGAGCCGGGTCTCTGCCGAACGGATCGCAACACTCGAGGACAAACCGCGTCCAGTTAAGGCTAATGAGAATAAGGTCAAATAGTTAAACCAGACCACTAGGTGTGTAAAGGTGGAAACGCTCGGTAGAAGAGTGGCGATTTCGACATCTCAAAATCTTTGTTTTTTCCAAAGGCATTTTGCTGAATTTAGTACAGGTAAGGAGAGGCCAACGAACAGACCTTTGCTTCCATGCACAATACATACTGAAATGTGAGTCTTTCATAAATCCAATATATTTAAACTTTTAAGCGACTGCTTTGTTCTTCTGGGTGTAAACCAAAGAAGTGGTTATTCACACCTCAAAGTGATAAATGCTTAAGATAACCTCATTTTAAAATGTGTATTTTCTCATTTACAGATAAGGGATAAAGTCCAATAATACAAACTTCTTAGTGGCACAATTTCACATATTTTGGGCAACGTTAGCATACAAGCGGTATTTAAATAAAAATAAGTGCATCCAAACATGAAATTCTCTAAATATACCACACTTCATTTATCCCAAACGGCAATTTTCTGACAAGAGCTGTAATTCAAATAATCATTTACACGTCTCACCCAGAGGAAAAGAGGTAATAAACCCAGGGGACTCTCCAAACAACCTCCTCCTACCCTATCCCCTACTCATTACATAAAATAACTCATCTAGAAGCGTAAATCAAATATTCAGATGCAAATAAAAACGCAAGAAGCAGTCTCTGATGTTTGTAATTTGCAGACTCCAAAGTCCAATCATGATGGAATTTACGACTTCTGTCAGTCATTTACTCCTGTATGTGCACTTCGTATTTATGCTAAAATAACAAATGAGACAATGAATGAGGCTAGTGTGGCATAAAGTCGTCGTAAACCCAGCGAAACCAGAATAATTATGACATTCATTTGGATGATTTACCAGTCGTCGTCCCCCTCCCCCCCTTTACAGAAAAAAAGGCAACCGTCATTTTAAGTGATACACACATTCTGCTAGTAAAAAAAGTTGAAAGAAACCCCTTCTCTGTTAAAAGAGCATGCTGCTAGAAGAAGGTAGACCACATCTGTTCCAATCAGGCTTCTCAGCATTATCAAAATTTCTTTGCTTGCAAAGGCCAATTTGGCTTACCATAGAAAGCTATTTTGAAGGCGGCTGATATATTTATTCCCTTTCAAAAATTAAAATTCAAGGCATGATAGTGCAAGAGGTAAGTTTTGATTTGAGAACATTATTTGTAGACTAACTGTGCTTAGTTACTACATCCCAATTTATTGTCTTAAAGAAAATACAGCAACAAAAGCTACAAGATCTCTATAAATGTCATTTTGCCTAAGTTTACCAGTACATCCATGAACCTCATCAGTATTAGTACAACTTGATTATCCTAATGATTCCATTATAAAACTTGCAAAATGTATCACAAGGTGAATAAACCATCTAGTGCAAGTCTTCTACATTTCGTGTGCACAGCAATCCTGTGTAGTCCATTTCCTCCAGGTTGAATCCCCAAAGTCTCTCTGTAACAACGATGAAAAAACAGTGTCGTGTTTGTTTTGTTTTTTCCCCCCCTATCAAATCTGAGAAGTTTGAGTGTTCCTGGAATCACCATCAGGATGCGCTGAAGGTCGTGAATCCCTTGTCTGTGAGTATTCACTGTCAGATGACTCCGTAGGTTCGAGCAAGTTTTCATAATCACTGTCTTCTGATTCGTCAACATTGTCACCAACTGCTCTTTGGGAAGATGGCATGGATGCTCCATTACCAGAATATTTCAATCCTGCGTTTGTGGAAACATAACTGGAAGAACCTACTGCTTGAGGTCGAGGCATAAAAACACTGCTCTCTAGGAGGCCGTGACCGACAGTACTTTCTTGATCGGTTGAATTGAAATCGGAATACGGAGGGGGAGGATCAGAGACGTCGGAATCTTCAAGCGTGCAGCCTTCCACAGCAAATCCAGTGTAGGACATTCGTGGAACAAACATAGGTTCCAGGTTATCTGTCGGCATTTGCCTGCTTAAAATTGCTTGCTGCATTCCTACAAAAGCAAAGAACATTGGTGTACTTAATGCTTCCTTCGCAGTATGCTTTATGGAACCTAGCTGGAACAGAATCACAGAATCCCAGCATGGTCGGGGTTGGCAGGGAGCTCTGTGGGTCACCCAGCCCAACCCCCTGCCCAAGCAGGGTCACCCAGAGCAGGCTGCACAGCACCGCGTCCAGGCGGGGCTGGAATATCTCCAGAGAAGGAGACTCCACAGCCTCCCTGGGCAGCCACCCGCCTAGCCCTTCGCTGCTCTCCCTTCTTTCTCTCTGGTTGTCACTACTAAATGTTCACCCCCGGCACTGCTTTCAAACTCCATCGCTGGATCTGTTCCTCTCAGTCTCCACTACTCATCTTTGGCAATTCTCATGTTTGTATTGGTGACTGTACAAGACATTATCCTAACCACCATGTCAAATCTTGCTTATTGCTACATCCTACTCCTGGAGCTCGACAAAGCCGAGCTTCCCTAAATTCAGCAGCACATCCACGAAACTCATCAGTGTCAGCACAGCTTGGTTATCCTCATGAACCCATTTCAAAAACTAAACGTGGTGCAAGTGTGCTCCATTTTGATCTGCGCAGTCCCCCCGCCCAGTTCATTTCCTCCAGTTTGACTCCCCTGGACACACAGCCACAGCAAGTCTCCATAACACGTCGCTCTTCCCACCTCATCTTCTCCCTGTATTTCTCTATTCCTTCTCACATCAAAAAGCAGCTATGCTAGGGCTTATCGTGCCTGCTCTTCTCCACCTGTGTCTTACTCAGTACTGAAAGCCTGACTCAATTTTGATCAGACGGTATCAGCTTCTGCTGCTGATAGCGCAACTTAAAATCACATTTCTTTACTTTCTCTTATAATGCCCCATGTACTAGGGGACAATCTCATGAAGACCAGCAAAGAAGTTACCTTGACTTCTTCTCTCAAACTCTTCTTTTAAAACTTTCACTCCTAATGTCTGTGATTAGCCTAGCAGGCTGCCAAGACCACTGTGCATCACGCTCACCTTCTGCTGGCCAAAACCTCTGCACTCACGTGGTATCTCCTGCTTAAATCACTAGCTAGCTAGCGGAGCAAGAGCCATCTTTCCAACCTGTGTTTCTAGATCCCTAGCATGTGATCCATGACCAGGGCTCTCGCACTGGTGTAACACTGGTCAGGTATGTTGGCCACCATAGCTGGAAAAGGTGGAGACGAGCACTGAAATCCCTGGGCAAAGCCAGACGTAATGGGTAAAGCCACCACTGCCATGGTTTGGCTTTCATTTCAGTAACTGTACAGTCAGACAGCTGCTAGAACTAAATTTGTCCACCAAGGACAGGGTCTCTTTCCAATTCGTGTGGCTTTAACAATCAGAGCAAGACCAAAACGACTAGATGACCCACAGAGGTCCCTTCCAACCCCTACTATTCTGTGATTCTGTGAAAACCCACGGATATGCCTCGCCTTTAAGGAATTCCCAGCATCTCTGTGTTCCATAATGAACAGACAGTAACCTAAACACTGTGAGGATCAAAAACACAGCTGAAAAACTGCTCAAAGAACAGTTACAATGGGCATCAGTCACACTGGAGACGATTCAAGATGAAGCTCCCACAGCTCAGCACTGGAACTATACTCACATTAACCACCTAAACAAAGGAATTTAACTGGCACACGCTTATTAAAATTACAGATGGTACTATGCTAGTCATAGCTGCAAGTGTAACGGGGTATCAGAATCGGGAATTTCAAAGGGATCTTAAATGAGATGATGTGGAAAATAATTTATGGAAGGCATGCACAGGCATAACGAACCGCCCAAATGGCAAAATGAGGAACGGTTACATCCTTCTGCAGAAAAGAAACATGGGTTTACTGTTATGTGAACTATAAATATCAACAAGCATTAAGTGTGTTCGGCTGTTGAGAAACAGGTAAGTATTATTCCAGTATGTACTGTAATGGTTAAGACTACAACTGGAATATTGTATCTAATTTTGAACACCACAGTTTAAGAAATAGGGAAAAACTGGAGAAACTCTACAAAAGAAAAGGACTCGTTAGAGGTCTAGGTATCATGACCGAAGAGGAAAGACTGAAATAACTGGGATAATTAGAGAAGACTGAGGAAACAGTTTAAGCCTTCACATGTACGTAGGAGGCTGCTGTGGAAAGGTAAGCAGAAGGCAGCTTAAATTAGAGTATGATACATTAGACATGAGGAGAAACTTCCTTGCAGGAAGTTCTGTTAAGCGCTGGGACAGACTTCAGTTTCCGACCGGTTTCTAACCGGTTATTAACCTCCAAACATCTGTCAGAACGGACACCGGTGTATTTAAGCTGCCTTGCAGCCAGGTGATAGACAAAATGTTATCAGCCCTACTTGCTGTCACACCATACTTCTGGAAAAAGCCAGATGAGAGCTGAATAATCCTTTTAATCACCCCAACGAGGTATCTCCTCAGTAATAAAGAGAGCGTGTTCCATCAAGCGTTCGAGGAATGAGCTGCATAACCGAACTCTACTTTTGGTCTCCGATACCAGAACTACGGTGGGAGACTTCCTGGCCTCTGGGAAAGCGCACAGCACTCACCGTACCCTACAACAGGCCACTGCCTGTACAAGGTTACTTCAGTGATCTGGCAGGTACAGTCTCAACTGACTTCTATGCTGTAGTGTTAAAGTCATAACCCGTTAACCAAAGCTTTCTAAGAGTAACAAGCTTTCACACAACACTACTGCGGGAAATAGAATCAAACGCTCCCTTTTCCTCCAGCTCAGACCAAATGATGAACTGGAACATTTAATTCCTAAAAACAAGGAAGTTCTCCCGATATTGGGAAAGCGAGAGAACAGAAGGCCAGCTTCAGTATTTAGCTACTCACATCTAAAAATATTGCAGAAAGACAAGCTGCATGTTTTCTCGTTTCAGCCCTCTCACATGATTATCTGCTCTGGCATAAATTTTCAGTCCGGCATTTGCATCTCACTGGTAGTATTTAGAGGCTAGCGCTGACTGCTCTTCCTCCTCCTCCCCCATCTTTTGCCAGATGGGCTGGGATCAGCTCCAGTCACACTAAATACCCATCTCTGCTTCTTGCTAGCTCGCGTAGTAGCAATTCCCTGGCTGCTTCATCTACAGCCAAGCAGGGAACAGCAGCGACTCCGTCTTTCAAATGGTCTGTGGCTGATGCTGGCTCTTTACCTTATCTTTGAGGTTCAGAGAAGGAAGAACCTTAAGAGCAGAGGGCTGACAGATCGAGCTTTGCTCTAAAATGCTCATGTGGTGACAGTACTTTGCTGTCTGGAGAAAATAAAAATACCCAGTCACAGCAGCAGAGGGGCCTGTTGCACAGTTTAGGGTGTTAACCCATCCAAGCCGTCCTCTTGTCTCAGACACAGCTTTAGATAACAAGATGTACAGATAAAAAAAAAAAAATCTCGTAGCTAAAATTACAAAACTTGGTTATTTGCTTATCATTTCAAAACATGGAAAAAACAGGCAGTGTTTGCTGAAATATGTAACTTGCTTATGAATTGGGTTTTTTTTAAAGTATTACTTCCCATTTGCCTATTCTCTGCTCCTCCTCTCTACCTTCAGTCTTCCCTTACACTCACAAACTAGATTAGATCAGCAATGTCTCCTTGGAAAGGTCCAGGCTCTTCACAAAACCTTGTCTACTGCTAAGCTAGAGTCTCCTGAAGCCACATTCAGTTTTTCAGAAGGAGGGACACTGTATGCTCACACCACAGGTCTCACTGATTCAGAAAATTATGGAGCAGCAAAAAAGAAAAAAAAAAAGACACAGATACATAAAGCTTCCCCTACCAGTCCTAAATGCATAGTACCAAAATTTGTAATACAAATACAGAATGCAGAAGCAACTATTAAAAATGCGGATTTTTAATGGGACTTATTTGCACCATGGAAACTTAGATCGAATCAACCTGATACTAATATAGGTCTTAAGAATGCAGCAGAATTATAGTTTCTGCATTCAGAGTTTCACTAGAAGACGACAATCATGTCTGCATTGCCTTAAGTCAGTCAAAGAATTACCTAATTCAGCTTCCCGCAAAACGAATCCCCCCAACACACTGCAAGAAGGACAATATTTCAGTAGCTTCATGGAACTAAAACTAATACAAATTGAAATTCATATTTGAAGTACCATATCATCACTGACAGTCAGGCAAACTCCAACAACATTCCACATTTAAATAGTTTCTTCCACTTTCTAGCAGGTACTCATGAAGATAGGAATGACTTCAGAATGGACTTTTGGGAAGCTTTAGCTCAGTGCTGAAGAGTGGTATTTCAATGCTAATCATGTTCACCACTAAGTCAGCAAATAACGCAAAAAATGCTGACTAAATTAGGATCCAGGAATTATGAAGCAGGAGAGGAGGATAAAATTGTAGATGGTCTCCTCTAAATCCGTGGTGAAACACCTGATACATCCACTAAAAGCTACAAGGTCAAAAGTCATCTAGACAACACTCCAGATGACCTACATCAATGTTCATCACTTCAGCACTCATTTTGCTTCACCCAGTTTGTTTGGTGGCCGGTGGTATAACTGAACTCCAACTTCATCGGTGCTGGGATAGGTTTGGGGAGTGGGAAAGGGAATAAAGATTTCAAAAAAACATGGATAGTTACTGGCTTGTAAACACAGTACCCTGTTTCTGTGTAATACTTCAAAAGGAATCTCTCCAGCATTCAGATTTACTTTTCCACTCCTAGCTCTGCTCCACTTTTCCTTTCCTACAACTGATCTTTTCCTGTGTTATTTCCAGGATTGCCTTTCTCGTTCTTTCTCTACAGCTTTGTCTCTCTCCTGTGTTTTATGTTTGCCAACACTGAATGACTCCTACAGAAACATCCTTCCCAATGTGATTTTTTTTTTCTTTTGCTATGAGCTATCAGGAATACAACTCAAAATAATTCCACAAAAAGTTGTGTCCTTACAGCATCTGGTTCTGAAACAAAAAGAAAAAAAAGAAAGGCAACTTACTTATTTCTTGTTCTTTTTCATTTTTCTTTTGTGCGATTTGCCTTTTTAACTTGTTTACATCAGCTTGAAAAGACTCAACAACACGTTCACTTTTTTCTACATCTATACATACTGCCTAAAAGAAAAACATTAGATATGGTAAGATTTTGCAAAAAATACATGAAAGACTTTCATGATAACATTAATAAAGCTACCAACAGACAAGAAGCCATGAAAAGCACAAAACTAAGAGCAGGAGTTAACTATAACAGAGCATAATACTAAACCTGAAGATCATTTTCTTTACTGGTTGTTGCCAATTCCCAGCTGTTGCATGACAGGAAAAGCATTTCCAAATAATTCATCATTACAGGAAGATTTGTAATCAGATCCAAAGCTAGTTCTTCCTACTTGGTGGAAAAGACTTGGCTTTTTTCTTTCTTAATACACTGGTTTTAGCACAATGATGATACTATAGTAGCATGATTTTAAAATGTAGCATAAAGGTGCATACTTTTTACACTAGACCAAATTCAAATTGAGGTACGAAACAGCTGACTCGAGACAACTGTCCCAAGCTGACCTCCTAACTAATACCTCTGTTAAATGAACAAGACCCATAGATTTCTCAAGAAGATTTCCCTATGCTGGTTAGGAAATGAAGGTGAATTTTTATAGAATCCCCGCTGGACCTGCTGTTTGCAAATGGGGAAGGACTTGTGGGTGATGTAATGGCTGGAGGCCATCTTGAACACAGCGATCATGAAAAGACCTTGTAGCTTTGTAGCACTGCATGGAGTTTTCAATTCTCGGAGAGGTAACGAGGGGGGTTAGCAGAACTGCCACCTTAGGCTTCTGCTCTGGCCTCTTTGGGAGCCTGGTTGGCAGAGTCCCTTGGGAGGCAGACCTGAAGGGCAAAGGGGTCCAGGAAGGCTGGACACTCTTCAAGGAGGAAGTCTTGAAGGCACAGGAGCAGGCTGTCCCCATGTGCCGAAAGACACGCTGGCGGGGAAGACCACTGGCTTGGCTGAACAGAAAGCTCTGGCTGGAACTCAGGGGAAAAAAGGGAGTTTATGTCCTTTGGAGGAAGGGGCAGGAAAACCACAAGGATATCGTGAGGTTATGCAGGGAGAAAGTTAGAAGAGCCAAAGTCCAACTAGAACTTAGTCTGGCTATTGCCATAAAAGACAATTAAAAAATGGTTTTATAAATACATTCAAAGGAGGGCAAAGGAGAATCTCCATGCTGTATTAGGTGCAGGGGGAAACTTAGTGACAAAGGAAGAGGAAAAGGGTGAGGTACTTAATGCCTTCCTTGCCTCAGTCTTTCACAGTAACTGGAGTTGTTCTCCGGACACCCAGCCCCTTGAGGAGGAAAACGGGGATGAAGAGCAGAAAGAAACCCCAAAACCCAAGGGGAAATGGTCAGTGACCTGCTACACCACACACACAAGTCTGTGGGGCTGGATGGGATCCATCCAAGGGTGCTGAAGGAGCTGGCAGATGGAATTCCCAGCTGTTGCATGACAGGAAAAGCATTTCCAAATAATTCATCATTACAGGAAGATTTGTAATCAGATCCAAAGCTAGTTCTTCCTACTTGGTGGAAAAGACTTGGCTTTTTTCTTTCTTAATACACTGGTTTTAGCACAATGATGATACTATAGTAGCATGATTTTAAAATGTAGCATAAAGGTGCATACTTTTTACACTAGACCAAATTCAAATTGAGGTACGAAACAGCTGACTCGAGACAACTGTCCCAAGCTGACCTCCTAACTAATACCTCTGTTAAATGAACAAGACCCATAGATTTCTCAAGAAGATTTCCCTATGCTGGTTAGGAAATGAAGGTGAATTTTTATAGAATCCCCGCTGGACCTGCTGTTTGCAAATGGGGAAGGACTTGTGGGTGATGTAATGGCTGGAGGCCATCTTGAACACAGCGATCATGAAAAGACCTTGTAGCTTTGTAGCACTGCATGGAGTTTTCAATTCTCGGAGAGGTAACGAGGGGGGTTAGCAGAACTGCCACCTTAGGCTTCTGCTCTGGCCTCTTTGGGAGCCTGGTTGGCAGAGTCCCTTGGGAGGCAGACCTGAAGGGCAAAGGGGTCCAGGAAGGCTGGACACTCTTCAAGGAGGAAGTCTTGAAGGCACAGGAGCAGGCTGTCCCCATGTGCCGAAAGACACGCTGGCGGGGAAGACCACTGGCTTGGCTGAACAGAAAGCTCTGGCTGGAACTCAGGGGAAAAAAGGGAGTTTATGTCCTTTGGAGGAAGGGGCAGGAAAACCACAAGGATATCGTGAGGTTATGCAGGGAGAAAGTTAGAAGAGCCAAAGTCCAACTAGAACTTAGACTGGCTACTGCCATAAAAGACAATAAAAAATGTTTCTATAAATACATTAGCAACCAAAGGAGGGCAAAGGAGAATCTCCATGCTGTATTAGGTGCAGGGGGAAACTTAGTGACAAAGGAAGAGGAAAAGGGTGAGGTACTTAATGCCTTCCTTGCCTCAGTCTTTCACAGTAACTGGAGTTGTTCTCCGGACACCCAGCCCCTTGAGGAGGAAAACGGGGATGAAGAGCAGAAAGAAACCCCAAAACCCAAGGGGAAATGGTCAGTGACCTGCTACACCACACACACAAGTCTGTGGGGCTGGATGGGATCCATCCAAGGGTGCTGAAGGAGCTGGCAGATGTGCTTGCCAAGCCACTTTCCATCATCTATCAGCAGTCCTGGCTAACTAGGGAGGACACAGTTGACTGGAAGTTAGCTAACGTGATGCCTACCTACAAGAAGGGCTGGAAGGAGGATCCTGGGAACTACAGGCCTGTCAGTCTGACCTCGGTGCCCGGGAAGGTTATGGAGCAGATCATCTTCAGTGCCATCATGCGGCACACACAGTACAACCAGGTCCTCAGGCCCAGTCAGCATGGGTTCATGAAAGGCACATCCTGCCTGACCAACCTGATCTCCTTCTGTGACCTGCTTAGTGGATGAGGGAAAGGCTGTGGATGTTGTCCACCTGGACTTTAGCAAAGCCTTTGACACTGTTTCCCACAGCTTCCTACTGGAGAAACCAGCTGCTCATGGTTTGGACAGGTTTACACCTTGCTGGGTAAAAAGCTGGTTGGATGGCCAGGCTCAAAGAGCAGTGGTGCATGGAGTTAAATCTAGCTGGTGGCCAGTCATAAGTGGTGTTCCCCGGGGCTCAGTTTTGGGGCCAGTTCTGCTTAATATCATTACCAACGATCTGGACGAGAGGATCAAGTGCACCCTCAGTAACTCTGCAGATGACACCTAACTGGGCAGGAGTGTCGATCTGCTTGAGGGTAGGAAGGCTCTGCAGAGTGATCTGAACAGCCTGGATCGATGGGCCGAGGCCAACTGTATAGCATTCAAAAAGACTAAGTGCCAGGTCCTGCACTTGGGTCACAACAACCCCAAGCAACGCTACAGGCTTGGGGAGGAGTGGCTGGAAAGCTGCCCGGCGGAAAAGGACCTTGGGGTGTCGGTCGACAGCCGGCTGAACGTGAGCCAGCAGTGTGCCCAGGTGGCCAAGCAGGCCAACAGCATCCTGGCTTGTGTCAGGAATAGTGTGGCCACCAGGAGCAGGGAGGTGATTGTGCCCCTGTACTTGGCACTGGTGAGGCCGCACCTCGAGTGCTGCGTTCAGTTTTGGGCCCCTCACTACAAGAAGGACATGGAGGTGCTGGAGCATATCCGGACAAAAGCAACAAAGCTGGCAAACAGTCCAGAGAACAAGTCTTATGAGGAACAGCTGAGGGAGCTGGGGTTGTTCAGTTTGGAGAAAAGGAGGCTGAAGGGAGACCTTATTGCTCTCTACAACTACCTGAAAGGAGGCTGTAGTGAGGTGGGTGTTGGTCTCTTCTCCCAGGTAACAGGCAATAGGACAAGGGGAAATGGCCTCAAGTTGCACCAGGGGAGGTTTAGATTGGATATTAGGAAAAATTTCTTCACTGAAAGAGTTGTAAAGCATTGGAACAGGCTGCCCAGGGAGGTGGTTGAGGCACCATCCCTGGAGGTATTTGAAAACCATGTAGATGCGGAGCTTAGGGACATGGTTTAGTGGTGGAATTGACAGGGTTCGGCTAATGGTTGGACTTGATCTTGAAGGCCCCCTCCAACCTAAACAATTCTATGAGTCTATGATTTATTTTTTAATCTAAACATGTTATACTGGCTATTGTTTACTTCTTCAGAAATTACTATCAGTCATTATCATTAAACATGATCAGTTTTTAAGAGTACACAAACCTAAAAGCATTGATGAGTCTTAGACAGTAAGTCACTGGCCATTTACTGTTTCTTCTCCAAAAGGTTACTATTACTGATCTTACCTACAGAGTTGAAAAACATTAACTACATGTAATTTTTAGAAGTTCATAAAGTTTAAACCCTCCCAACTAACTGGTGAATGATGCAAACACGTCTCAGCTGCTTTACCAGAAAACTTCTTTCCAATCCTGTAATATTCCCTGTGAAACAGTCATTTTAAAGATACAAGTTCCTCATGTTGGCCAACTCCTAAGTTACTTCTAAGCTCTGTAAACAATGTACAGCAGCATAATTTACATGGTGAAATACAACAAAGTCGTACTTTTAACACATAGGAAGACAACTCCCTGTTGATGTTACATTTTCCATTTTTTCAGACGCTAATTCAAACAACAGCAAGAGCATGAGTGGATATACACGCTCTTGGCAAAAACAGCGTCACAGAATAATACCATTAGCTAATGGGACAGACCTCTGAAAAGAAATTTTCACGTCTCCTGAAGCCAGCATGAAAGCAGTCTGCCTTCCTGATGTGTTACCCACCTTACAAGGCAGGTTAGAAAGTCGCAGCTTCCACCGAGAAACAGCAGCTCCCCTGTGCGAGCGGGGCGAGGGGGTGGTTGGAGCGATCACTGCCTCGCTCTCTGCCGTCTGCGCCCACCAGCACAGCCAAGCTGGAGCAGAGGCACAAACCCCTCCGGGGCAGATGTAAGGGGAAAGCCTGGAAATAAGCTGTGACTGCCGCACAATCAGCAGACGTGCACGCTCCCGAGGCAGCAGGGCTGTGCTGCTCTGCACACAGGACAAGCTGTGAACTGACAAGCTCACATTTAGCAGACTTGACACTCGAGGCACTTTCAGATGCTTTGCCAGGTTTGGAGCGGGATTCGCTCGTGCACTACACAAAACAGTCACCAGTTTTAACTAACAGATGGAGCTCTTTGTTGCATGCTAAATAGTAAGAGGCAGGAGTTATTTTTTAAACTCACACAGGCAAGCCTTTAAACCTGTGTACATGCCTACAGCCTTCAGCAAGGCTTTTCTTCAGTGCATACTCTGAAAAACAGCCAATGTCTCCCAGAAATCACTAAGCATTACATCACTCTTACTTGCAAAAATGAAAGAATTAATAATATTCACATCAACCACTTTTACAGCAGCCACTGCAAACGCACACGCTAACTAGAAACCAACACACTTCGTTATTAAGGAAAGTAAGACTATTTTTGCCTACAGTTTGTAATAAATTGTTTATGAGCTCTGAAATTCTCCATCTCCTGCACTCCTGGTTTAAGCAAAGGACAAACAGATGCCACACACGTACTGACCAATAGTAAGTAAAGGAAGTTACCTGTACTTTTTCCTGAAGTGCATTATAAACCTGATATATAGCCCTGATGTCCTTCATGACTCCATCTTTGTCAAAAAAATCAGTACTAAAAAAAAAAGCAGAACTAATTAGTTAGAAAATAGAACACAAGTTTCTAGCTCACGCTGTCTCTGACATTAAGCAGTTAATCCCTATATTTTTTAATTTTTTAAAATAAAGTACACTTTAGAAATAAAGATGGACTGCACTCTCAAGAACCAAAATTTGGACAGCAGCATATTTAACACCAAAATTCCTTCTGGAATAACAAAGTCCCACTGAACGAGATTAAACTTGTGCAGAAATCTTTAAGCATGTATAATTTCACTGTTAACAGTCAGAAAAGCTACTCTGCATTTACAGCATTTAATTAAAATGACTTAAAAAACCAACAAGACTTCAACACTTCCAAATCGGAGTTCAAGTTCTAAAGCAAGCCTACGCACAAAATTCCTCGGCTGGGGGGGGAATCCAGTAAGAATCCTCCAGCCAGAAGGCCCACAGCACCAACTGGCCATTCTAACTCTGCTTTTCAGACTAGTGCACTGAGTTCCCTTTGTTTTTATAAAAGATTTGACTCTAAGCAGAAAAAGTGCACTGGGAACCAACCATTCTCCTCCAGAACTAGGTTTCTCCTGCTTGAAATGCGTATTTGCACTGTTCTTCGGAAGGTAAAGAATGTAGAGCTTGATGACCATATTTCATCTGCAAAGGAAAAATCCTTACCCGTGTTCCTTAATAACTTTGGCATAATTCTGAGAAGTATTTGGCACTGAAGAAACTTTGTATTCCTGTTGACTAGTGTTGCCTAGGTTAGGAATAGTAAGTGACACCCTTTGATTATACCTGCAGAGAAAGTTTAGAAAGGCTTCTTAATTCATATTCAAAAATTTATTTACAATAGCCTTCACATTATCCCATCTCTAATTCTCTCTAATCTTGTCTCATTTTAAAACTTCTGGTTTAAGTTTATTACAAAAGTTGCTAAATATTAGAAATTGTGTTCACAATGAATGCACAATCAAAGACTCCCTTGAGATGGACCTACCTCTGTACCTTGCAGAACCTTTTAATTGTGCATTCACGCTACCACAGATACCAGAAAGGTGAAGGTACATTCAGGTCTATTATAAAAAACATAGTACTGACATCTGATTTCTCTTAAAATATATTGGTTTTGTTGTCTGAAGATTTAAAGATTGAAAAGAAATTTTCCTCACCCCAAAACTTTAAATTATAAATTACTTCCACAGAAAAAAAAAAAATCTGTCCTCACTAAAAATTGTATACCAAAACATCATTTGATAAACACAAAGCCTTCTTTAGATGTAATTGTACAAACTTCAAAATAGTTTAGAGTATAAATAGTAGCAATAAGAAGAATTAAAAAAAAAGACTGGTTCATACGCAGAGATTGTTTACCTTCGGTTTGGTCTAAAAAGCACATATTCTAAAGCATGCGTTGAGTTATTTGCAGTGGAAATGAAGCTGAAGAGAAGGAAGACAAGATCAGGCACTCCAAGAATGTGTGTCAGCTGTTTATGAATGATGTGCTCTCTATATGACATCTGCTGTTGAGTGTTTCTCCTAAATCTGTACCATCCAATAACGTTCTGTAATCAAAGTATAACAGAAAAAAACCAAAGTATTAATTGAGAGGTACATATCTACCCTCTGAAAAGAAAGTTGCTAACACTATAGTATCATGTGATTACTTTATTACAACAACACCGGGCTGAATGACTAGAGGCTTGCCCCCACTGAATATCCCAAAACAAGTGACATCCTGTTAGAACACAACTACTAATTGTGCAACCTCATTGTATACAAACACCCGTGTGTCCGCAGTGGCATCCAGGATCCCACCGCCAACGTACTTCAGTCGTTTCATTTCAGCAGCAAACCTTGGAGCACCTTCAGATTATTAGACTTGCGCTGTCTATAAACACAGCAGACGTGGGTTTTCTTCAGCCTAAATATTTCAGCTGCTTATTCACCTGTATGGATTTATAAGACACTTTTCCAGTGCTTCACAAACATATTTGCAAACTCATGTCTGTTCATGACACATGCAGGAGTAATCTGCTGTGTACAGCAATAAAATTATCTCATTGTGTATTTAATTGCGACAGATTCATACGCACATCAGATAAGACCTATTCTAATTCAATGATTACTTTGAATGCAACATGCATTAAACTCCTTTATTTCACGTAAACTAACATTTAATTTAAGAGATGAATGAAAAAGGACACAGCATTAACAACTTGGTTTAGGCAGAGTCCCAGGAATAGGCGCTATCACGGAGAGATGCCTGAAGACTGCAATGTATACACGCAGCTGAACAGAGCAGATTCTACACATTAAACAATATGACTTCCGCGATAAATAAAAAAGGAAGCATTGTTTTCAACCTTTTATAATAAATCTGTACAATTACTTAGTCAAGGTAATAAAATGTGCTTATGTGCTAACAAAAGAGAATACAAGACTGTCTTGGTTCCCAGACAACAGTATTTCTTTCTTTTTTGACATTATGACAATTAACATCATTAAATCTGTGGTGCTTTCATCACATGACGCTTGCAAATTTTAATTTCTCCAGTTTTGCCGGCTTTCTCACCATTGATCATGCATCTTTCCAGAGTCTCCCTGCAACACAGATCCTAACAAAGTAAAATTCAACTGAAAACTAGCGGGAGACAAGAATTTTTAAATCATGGTTTTTTGCCTTGTCTCCTGAAGGGGAACTTCACGTGCTGTAATGTTCTAGAGTACGGTTACGGGCTTACAGAATTCAGGATCTGAGACTGGAAACTCACTCCACAAGTATGAAGATGTACTTGTCTATATATATAAATATACACACAAAGCACTTATGCACTAAGGATAAATACATTTGTATGCACAGAGGAGTTTATTCTGAGAGCATTTGCTGGAAGAAACAGAGAAGAAAGAAGCATTACAATGAGCAGTGCTGCAGAAGTTGCACAGATTTAGGGCTTGCTTCCCCAAAGATCTCTGCTCAACTTAAGCCTTGTCTGCCAGCAGAAGTCCACAGTTCAGGTGGGTAAGGTGAACAGCAAGCAAAGACTGCAAATTCAATTAGCAATCGAGCGACTGTCATCACACGCTGCGCATAACGATGATCAGTTGACACAGCAGGCACTCTGACTCAGACCAGAGCAGTGACAGCTACGCCTGGGTCACCTGTGGAGGACAGAAATCCCAAAAGCCCAGCAGGTCACGCCTTGACAGGCAGCTCTGCATACCAGTGAAACGCAACCTGCAGCTCTACCAGCAGCTGGAACGACACTGGTTTGCTGCTGCTCTCTCAAAATCGGTCAAACAAGAAAAAAGGTCTTGTTTGAAGCACCCCTGCCTTGTAGTAGCTCTGGCACTTGCGAGCCACACGCACGCAGTCGCGAGGCTTTCCTGCTAGGTCTAACAAGCTCCACGGCTGTCACAAACTGAACCACGCAAGTCAGGCACCCGTCCCTTTGGCAGAGCGAGCTGACTGGTGGATTCACTTCTGCACCAAAGGAACTACACCTTCGGCTCTGCTCTCCGACGTATCAGTTCATGAGAACGTCTGAAGCCGTTATTCAATAATTAGATAGTGTGCTACAAGTATGGCATGAGATGAAACGCCGAAAAAAGGTTTGACTCTTCTGCAAATAACTACTAAAATTTAATTGTCTTAGTACTAGTTGTGCTGCTAACAACATATGCGTGACATAAAGCTATGACAACATCTGACATAAGTGATAGAATGGTTTTTCCAGTTTAAAACTGACAGTGTAAAAATTGTAATTACAAGTCTGTATCATTACAACTCTTAAACGAACTCTTCAGAACAGATTTTCAGACCAGCGACGTTTCTGTTGGTCTTAACAGCAGAGTACACAACCACCATGCTACATGTTGAGCTTGGAAATTTGAGTGGGTTCATACCAGCCCTTCTCCTCTCCTTTAGGAGACTTGAACTTAAACCTTTGCATTTCCTCAGGGAATCCACCCATTGCTGCTAGTTCAGCCTAAGTACCACTAACCCACCAACTTCGGTACCCGATCAATCTTGGGTCAAAAAAACCATCAGATTTGTAAAAGAAAATATTTCTTCTAGTTAACCACTTTTTCTTGTTCATTTTCCAAAACCACTCATTATAGGCTCTATTGACTAGAACAGGAGGAAAAGATAGAAAACTTACTTTTCTTCGGTCTTTAAGAATTCTGTCCAAACTCTCCTCATTAACCTTGCCTGCATAGTCATAAAAGCTTGAACGAAAAGAGAAGAGAGAAAGGTAGGTACACAGTTTATACACACACATTATACATACAGTAAATAGTTTTGAGAGTTCTTCAAACAGATGGCATTCTATACATTACAAAGCAATTTGTACAGTTTTACCTTTATCATCATAGGTCCATATTCACAACACCTACTTAAGGCACCCAGCTCGGGTGCTATATAGACACAGTTAGAAGCCCAGGCTGACTGCACTGCTAATAGAGGCGGTCGTCACAGAGGAAGATGCTCAGCATTTAAATTAGATGCCTAAGACTAACTGGTGTGAAAACTAACTGCTTTTAAACCACTAGTAATGAAATATAAGATGCCTGTAATCATTAGTTTTAGAACGCTTTCATTGCACACATTAGTTTGATGCCTAGTATTTCACTGCCAGCCCCTACAACAAGGGGTACATACATAAATTGACTGTGTAATTTTATTTTGACTAGCGTTCTGTAAAACCCTGCTTTGACAATAAGAGGCCTACCTGCCACAAAAGAAAGGAAAGCAGGACCGTGTTACATGCAACTACAAATCAATTTCTTGAGCTCCAGCCCTGCAATTAGACCCACACGACTGGACCCTTGCAGCCAAAACAGTTACAGTGAGGTCAGCAAGAATCCAAAGTATCACGGTCCTTCCGCGCAGCTCTGCTTACAGAACTGAGGCCCAAAGACTGGCACGTTGTTATTTTGAGGACGAAACAGTTTTAAGAATTTATAAATCTATCTACACAGACAGGTTTATAAATTCAAGTAGATGAAACTTCATCATAAAAGGAAAAACAGTTGAAGATAGATTCTTCCTTGACCTACCTGCCAAGCCCTCAGTCTCTTTCAAGACCGATACCACTAACACCTAAAGCCATGCAGGAAAGCACTCCGGTTTAGAGCTCTATGATCTCAGCTCTTGTGTGGGGGGATAAAACAACACAACAGAAAATCCTGAGCTCAGTACTTGGCTGGTAAATAAGGGTGGAAATCAAATTTGTTTCAAGATCCGAGTTCTAGTGAATATTAAGACTACAACTAACTACTAATTTGAGGTACTACGTAATACTTGCATGATCTTGTCAAGTCATGTTCACAATATTTATACATTCCTGTTCGTAGCGGATATCCAATTCTTTCTCTTTCTATGCTTTATAAGAATAATTTTCTTATGGGACGAGCAACCAGTATGTAACGAAACACCTTCAGTTGAAAACTGCACCGACGGAGAAATCAGTCCTTTTAAAATCCTGGCTTCTTATTCAGTTCCCACATGCTGTTAAAAGCACTGGAACCAAGCCTGCCGTACTCAACACCCGCAGTGCCAGCTTACAAGAACACAGAGTGGATGAGCAACAGACCTCCCCAGACTGGCCACACGCAAGTCAAAAGGATAAGGCAGAATGCCCCCAAAACCAGCATCTGCTACATCTGACGGAGCAGGGAAACCACCAGCACACTCTGGTACTGATAAAAGCCATATGAGCTGCAAGTGTCCTCTATGCTCTGAAGCAAGTAAATTCATCAGTTTTCTTGTGCAGAAAGCTTCTCCCCCTTCCTCCATCAGCTCAGTTACTAACAACCAATTTCTTGACCGGGGAGAAGCAGTAAACGTGATCGGTTTTGATATGCGCTGCACAAAGCATCGCTAGGAATCAGAAAGCGTCTACTAGACACTGGGACATTATCTTGACGTGTAGAGTCTCTAGCATTTAAATCACTGGGCTAAAAGTACCCTCTCTGTAATTATCAGACAGCAAATGATAGATTGCAGCTTTTCTCTCTAATGTAACCAATGTCAATCATAATATCTAATGTACTGTGTCTTCTTAATTGGCTCGAAATCTCCAAATAGAGACAAGAGGAGATTAACTGGGAATTCCTTCTAAAAGGAATTTCTCAACAGCAATTTAGAAGCCATCACTGTATGACAAGTGAAGACTACAGAGAAAAGCTACATGTAAATAGATGGAAGCTGCTAAATAGAATATATTAGACCTACATTTAATTTAAATTCTGAAGTACAGGAGATCAGAAGGCAAAAATAACTAGTAAGCTGAAAGTTTCAAAATAATTAGTTGGTGCAAGTCAGTACAGTTAACCACAAAACAGCTTGTTAACCCAGCGATTTACTCAGGTATTCTGTGACCCACCAGGCCCAACCAGAGCTAACCTAAGACTACAATAGTTTCAACTGGTTTTGACATTCAGCCTAATTGTCAGAGGGATATGATTTGATCTGACTGCTACCCTACCTCCACTAACTATGTGAGGTGGAAATTCAAAGAGAAATAAGCCTGAATCAGCACCCCTTCTAACCTGAGGTAAGTGCTACTGCAAGTGTGAACTCATACTTTTATTGTCATGGTTGGTGCCATTTACATGTATTTCTGTAATATCATCAGATGAGCAAACAATGCAAACATTGGTAGGTACATCTGACATGCTAAGATATTTCAGTGAGCTACCTATTTTTATATTCTGCAGCCAACATGGAAAAACAACAGAAAATACTTACCTAAAGAGTTTTGAACAAGGCTCATGGTTATGGATTTCTGCAACAACAAAAAAGAGAGACATATGTCCAACTGCCGAAGGTACAGAGAAATTAGAGTGGCATCTCTCGCATGAACTTTCCACATCACAGCTACTGAGCAAACAAACATTTCTGTCGGACCACAAGCTGCCCTTAATGTCTCAACAACGCTTGATGACACAGCACTGTACCTGGAAAACCAGCTTCTCTTCCTTATCTGCTATTTTACAAAGGAAAATATTTTAAAAATAAGCAAGATGTATACTTGCTCAGATATATCTGAGCCTCAAATACACACTTGTGATACCATTATATAGTTGTAACCTCCTCACAATGGCATTTATGATATTTTTTTTCTTTTTCATACACCTTTCCACAACAGTTTACTTGCATTCACATACACTGTTTATTACAGCAGCAATGAATAAAAAAAGGGATGGAGAAGGGAATCACTGAAATGTTGTACGCTGGAGTACTTCACCCGGCAAGGCAAATAGAATCTGTGATGAGGAAAGGGGTTAAACGCCACCGTGCTGGCTTTGGCTGGGGTAATTTTCTTCCCCGTAGCTGGTGTGGGGCTGTGTTTGGCTCCGTGCTGGTAACACTGGGACGTTGTCGTTACTGCTGAGCAGCGCTCGCACAGCGCCGAGGCCCTTTCTGCTCCTCAGCCCACCCCACCAGCGAGCGGGCTGGGGGTGCACGAGGAGCGGGGAGGGGGCACAGCAGGGACAGCTGACCCCACATGACCAAGGGATGTCCACAACCACAGCATGCCTTGCTCAGCGTGTAAAGCTGGGGGAAGGAGGAGGAAGGGGGGATGTTCGGAGTTCGGTCATTTATCTTCCCAGCTAACTATTGCACATGACAGAGCCCTGCTCTCCCGGACATGGCTGAGCACCTGCCTGCCAATGGGAATTGGTGAATGAATTCCTCGTTATGCTTTGCTTGCATGCATGGCTTTTGCTTTACCTGTGAAACTGTCTTCATCTCAACCCACGAGTTTTTGCACTTTTACCCTTGTGACTCTCTCTCCATCCCACTGAGGGGGGGAGTGAGTGAGCGGCTGTGTGGTGCTTAGTTGCCAGCTGGGGTTAAACCTCAACAGCAACTCCAAAACGGTTAGCTGCAATCTATAATTCTGTTATATAAAGCATTAAAAACTCACAGCAGTATTTTTTTTTCCATTGAAGAGATTGTAATAAACGCTAAGACGCTTATTTAAGCAGCAAAGCTTGTAACATGTCAGTAATCTCAGAGAAGAGCAAGAAAAGAGTAAAAAAACAGTCCATATTATCTCTCTAATACCGAGCATGACTGACGTTTTTGTGGTGTTTAGTATTTCTTTCAAGTTCTCCTCTCCTCTTTTTACCAAATACAGCTTATCATTTATTCATATTATTACACCCTGATCGCGTAACTTCTGTCTGACTCTGTGTTTGCTCAGACTGGATAGCAGTTATGTAGCAATCTCATTTCAAGCTCCTGCATCAGAAGCCCCGCTGGAGCGTTCAGCAACACCTCTGCTCAGACTCTTCCTTCCCGGAGAGTGACTCACCGCCCGCTGCTCTGAAAGGCACAGGCTGCTCACGATCGCAATCTCAGCAGGGTCAGAATCCCACCGCAGCTCCCCAGAACAACAGACTACACACGGTAGCATCTCAGTGTATTTAGCAAACAATTTAAGACAAAATATTTATCAAAACAAGGCCCCGAACATCAGGCGTACCGCCTGAGAAACCGTGCATTGTCACCGGCAAGAACTCCTCACGCCACTGCTCTTAAGAGTTACAGCCTTTCTTTATTTGAAATTGTTTAAGAGCATATCAACCCCACATTTTTACACTGGTGTACAGGAATTTGTGGAAACGATTTGCTAAACAAAGCCAGCAAGTTTAATTATTCCAGCATAGACCAATTCCTTCCAGCAAACGCACTGTTTACAACTACTGAGAATGCATGCTTGATTCTCAGGTTATTACGTTGCTACGCAGGCCTTGTCTTGTGAAAAACAGGAAGCAACAAGCCTACTGCTCAGAACACACGAAGCAGCCACCATTCTCAATTTTACACACTGACTTTTACATATCTATATAGTGCATATACTTATATACACACATTCCTACTCAAACACCACCACAAAGCTTTGTGACAGCAGACACGAAAGAATGTTAAAACTCATCTCTGCCAACAGTGCCACAAAACTGTCGATCTCGGTTCATGAATTGAACTGGGAGTTCAAGAGTTAATGCTGGTGAATAAATACTGGAGTAAAAATTTGGTAAACAAAAAATATCCTGATCATGTGGGGTGTGTGTTTGTGCGTGTGTAGTTTCCCTTTTCAGAAAATACCTTTAATCAGGAATGTGGCAAAAGAGTATCTAAAAAGGGAGTAATTTTTAGCACACAAACACTTGGTTTGTGAAACCACCAGGAGCTGCAGTTTTAGGCCTTACTGCATGACACTGTCAGCAATCACCCAGATCAGTCACCACTGAACACTCATGTCTAGTTTTGTCTGAACAGACACTGCCATCAGCTGCCTGCCGTTATGCAATACTTTGACAGCGATTATATACACACAAAAAAAATCCTATGCCTTTATTTTTTGTAATTTAGCTCCATTAATTAACTGTAATTAACTGACACTTCAAACAGTCAATTTATCACCCGTGTTTCCTTAGGAATAACTGGAACAGGAAACTACTTAACCTTCTGGATTCTTGTATACACAACCATCATACTTTCAGGTGTCAAGTATCTTAAGATGTGACATTATATAGTGCATACTTTTAGAGACCTTTAGTTCTGATTGCAAATAACATTTGAGAGCAAACTGCTAGACGTCTGTTTATTAGCTATGCTTTAGTCAGATGGTGCTATGTTATCTAGTACCAGATCCACAAAGCCAGGTACCTACCCCTTTGGGTTTTTGAAGAAAGTTTATACGTATATTAACATTGGGTTATATCTATGTACACGAAAAAAAAGGCATTTTCTTTCCAGGGTTTCCTATTTTCTATAAACCACAGAGGTAAAAACCTGCAACAGCATCTCACTCATCTGTAAAAACATCTGCCTCAACCAACAGCACTTAACCGCAGGATCTTCTTTCACTTCTCACAACAACAAACCAGCTGTACAGTAAGTGCACGTGCTTATCAAGAAAGTAACTTGTTCAACAAATATTCCTTGGTCAATCTTGCTGTGACAGTTTACCACGTCATCAACCACCAGCCATTCATCCAAACTCTCCACTGGAAATTTGACCCCTTTCAGCACTGGTAAATCAAGCAATGCATTTGTTTTATTTTGAGCACGTGCCTGTATTTGGGCAACCATACTGAGCAGGAAACTCCTAACAGGATGGAAAACCAAATTAATCATTTCTCCACCACGAAATGCAGATAACTATCTGTCACAAACAATCTTTTCTTCGCAAAAGGACATGTATAAAACCCCCGTATCTAGCACAGGACTGTTCCCTTTCCTCACACCTCAGCTGTAAACACACAAATACTGTGGCAGATGCGATTCTGAAAGACTGGAACATCTCGTGCCGGACTCACAAGTGAAGGAATTCTCATTGAAATGTACTGAAAATTGAAAAACTGAACAGTGCTTCTTTGAGAATTCCTCAAAGTTCTGTTACTTACCAATCACTTGTAGAAATTCAGTGTTGCTGATCTGCGAATCGCTAATGCTAAAGGTCTCTTCTTGCCTCACCTCTCCTAGCAGAAATCCTTCCTACAATTTCAAGGGGAAAAAAAAATACTAAAAATAGAAAAAAAACCACTACACAGGCATTTATTTTAACTTTCTTAGCATTAAATGGAAGAATGAAAACAAACATTTAGGTTGAAAGACATGATCTGAGCGGCAACAGATATAACCAGTGGGTTTACCGAGACCGACCCGCTGATTTCCCAACGCCTTTTCACAACCCTACAGGAACAGCTCGTCCCAAAACAACACCGCTGAAAGCGCCCGCAGGGAACACACAGCTCACACGGGGCAAACAGGGACTGCTCAGAGCAGCGCTCTGCCTCCAGCCCCAGCTCGGCAGGGGATGAGGAGGAGGCCCGAGCACGGAGCACCGCACCACCGCGTTCAGAGCCGCGGGGAAGCGGGGCTCACACCCGCAGAGGCTTGCTCACACTTACATACGGAGCCCGGGCCGGGCCCTGGGCAGCATCAGGGATCATAAAACTTTTCATTCATCTTTTCATCCTCCGTCCCCGCGAGAGGGAAGGAAGGAGGCACCGGTGGGGCCTCCGCGTCGGCGGCAGGAGCCGAGCGGGGCCGGTACCCCCGGCCCGGGGCCTGACCGGCGGCGAGGC